GTGATGTAGTAGGAAGAACTGCTGAAGAACGAGTATTAGGAGAACGTGAAGTAGGTTCAGAAACCGAAGCTTGTGCATGATGGTTCTGACCTTTTCCTGCGTGATTTCCCCTCTCAGGCAGGTTTCCAACTTCTTGAGTATCTTCCGCAGGCCGTTCTTCTTTCCCTCTTTGATGCTGCGGATCCACGTTCACCTTAGGCCCTTTCAAATCCACATCTGGGCCCTTCAGATCCGCTTCAGGACCTTTATGATGATCTCCAACAAGTTCACTGCGGCCAGGACCAGGAGCAAGACCTTGTGTCGTTTCCAATCCTTCTCTTGTCTCCGCAATACCAGGACGATGACCAAGAGAAGCATGTACTTCAGTAGCCTGCTCTTCAACATCCTGCCCTGCAGCTTCCACACCAGCCTCAGCACCCACACAAACAGCACTCAGCACCAAGAGAAGAAAAAATAGCACACGATTCATCATCACCACAGCAATATCTGTGTTTTCTTGTTTTGGTTCACTTAAATGTAGAAGAAACTCAAAAAAAATAAAAACAAGCACCCAATACTAAAGAGACAGAGAGGCAAAAAAAATATGAAGAGCATAACATAAGTACCAGTCACACAAAACAATGTCACCAGCATAAACGAAAAAGTGTTCAATAAACGCTCACCACAAACACAGTGAAGAAACAAACGCAAGAAAAAAATGAAATTAAGATCACAACTAAGTGCTCCTCCAAACACATAAATAACACAAATCATTCTTTACGATTGAGTTAATACGCAATTATGAATAAAAAGGTGTATCAGTTATTATTATTTTTTTCTGCAGAAAGCAGACTACCAACCGTACAGGGGAAAACACACAACGCACCAGCAAACACACACACAAACAAACAGATATTAACCATTAGCCCAACATACCCAGTAAACACAGAAATATACACCAATTATGGGTGTAAGTATATATGTGTGTACATGTGCGCAATTATAAATATAAATTCATCTGCTATTATCATTTCTCCTTTTCCTTACTACAAAAAATCAGTTCATCATTATCATTACAGTGCAAGCCCAGGTGCACACACAGAGTGAGAGTCTCCAAGAACACACACACACAATGGAGTAGCAATAATAATTATTATTATAGGATAAACACAGAGAGCAAAAACACACAAAACACATGAACATTAACAAACAAAAAGAAAAGAAATCCCAACAGGTGGAAGATTAGTTAGAATGTAGGGATGTATGCAAGAAAAAGAAAAGAAAACAAAGGATGACCTGAGTCACCACCACAATCAGCACACAAGAATACAGGCCAGTGTAACCACAATCAGTAGTGGCACACGCACCCACACAGAACTGCTGATACTGCTGCTGCTGTCTGCATCACCCTTCTTGTTGTTTGT